ATTATTATTTTCGGGCATGGTCGTTATGTTTATTTGATTAATTTATTGAATTATTTATGATTGTTTTTCCTTTTTTTGTTTCTTTTAACTCAAACAAATTAGGAGTAAAAAAGGAGAATTGAGGTTTCTCAGTAACTTCTTATATAAAATTTATATGTGTCCGCAGTCTTTTAGCATGGTCGTTATTCCTGCGGACATTTTTTTAAGAACTGGCTCTTTTTAAGTTCTTTGATGTTTATTAAGACTATGCTTATTCGTGGTGCCTGCCCAAGGGCACCAGAATAATTGAAATTTAATTAGATATTTGTTAATCATGGTCGTATACTTGTAAATAATTTTTTTAATATTTTATATTTTATACTTTGTGCATTAGGGAAGGGTGATCTTTTTTGCAGAAAAAATAATATATATGGCCGAGCGGTTAAAAATAGTGGCTACTGACTAGGCTTACATGATGACGATAAGAATGTTTATGAAACATTTTCTAAAATGGAACGAGGTCATCTTAATTTTAGCCAGCAAAAGAAATTTTAGGAGGAAAATAAGGTAATAAGGACTGCTTGTTACAATTTGGTAAAAAAAAGATAAACAAGAAAAACTACTATTTAGTGAAAAATATTTCCACTCGTTTTTAGAAAAATGCTACGAGATTAAATAAATTCTGTTCGGTATAACTTGAAAGAATGAAATAAAAAATATAATTATCATCACGCTAATGGTAATCAAAGAAGCAGAAAAAAATAAAGTAAAGCAAGCACGTAATCGGAAGTATAAGACATTAATCAAGAATCAATTCAAGAAAATTGAGGTTTATTTACAAAAACAAAAAGGCAACGAGAGCGCAGTTTCAGTGCAACAAAAAGGATTAGAAAATCTGATTGCTGAAACACAAAAAGTATTAGACAAGGCCAAAAATAAAAAAATAATTCATCCGAGAAAACGTGACCGCAAAAAAAGACAATTATATAACAGCCTTAATAAATTAAGAGTCACAAAAGAAGTTAATTTAGAAGCATAAACCTTATGTTAACCATCACAAGTGTCAAGTGCAGTAAAAGCCTTATGCCGAAAGGTTTGAAACACCTCACATCTTGTTAGAATTATTTCTTAATAATTCTCCAATTCGTTCGTTCGGATAAAAATATGATAAAGAAATACACGCATTATTAAGACATTTTTAGCACTTTGGATAAAGCAATCAATCAATATAATTTTCCAATATTAATATTGAACTAAAATAATAAATATAGGATGAATGATAATCAAAAAGAAAAAGAAATTTTTGCTTTTCATGATTATGAACTGCTTATTAATGAAAGAAGTTTGATTGGTCTCCAAATTAGCGACCATATTTGAAAAAAGAAAGGTCGGGCTATGATTACTCCCAAGTTAATTAAAAGATTAGCCGAAAAATTAGCCATCTCCGAAGAAGAGTTATACGATATCTGTCGGGGTAAAATAAATGATTTTTCTCTATCTCGTCTAATGAGTTATTTGGAAAAATTACCTCTTGAGTATGAATTGTTGGTAATTGATAAGCAACAAAGGGAGTCAAAGTGAGCTGAATAAATTCAAGCGGTTAATTTCTTAATTCCTTTCTTTCTCTTTCTATCACTTAAACAATTCCTGATTTCTTTATTATTTATTATCTAGTAAATAGATAATAATTTACTGCTCCGCCCTAGGTCTTGTCTTCAATGCCTCCACTCAATTCTTAACTCCAACCACTGCTCAGGCTCCACCGGCAAAAATACCAACGACAGCCAAACCTTTCATATAAACTTTTTCCCCTTGCGATTTTAATTTCTCATTCTGTTCTACTAATTGCTGATTAACTGTTTTTAATTCTGTAATTTCTTGTTGGAGAGTAGCGACCTTTTGCTCTACTTCAGTCAATAAATTATCTTCTTCCTGACCGGCAGTTTCACTATTATCTCTTTTATTAGTCAACAATTCTTCCGTTTTAGTTAACAATTCCTCAGTCTTTTTTAATTTATCTAAGAGATTTTTATTCTCCTCGATTACTTTTTTTTCGCTTTCTTTAATTTTATTAATCTCACTATAACTATTCCCTAACTCTCGTTTTAAATGCTCCAAGCGTTCTTTACGGCTGGTCATGAGTTAAGGATTTATTAACTATGAGAAAGAAAGAATTTTTAATTCTTTTCTTACCTGATAAGGTTAGAGAGAGAGAGAGAGAGACGAATTTATTATTTACCATATAGATAATTTTATATAGTTTTATATTTTAATTTTGTACACTTTATACACCAACTGACTCATTTTTATTCTAATTCTGGTAAAAATCTTTATATGCGAGACTGTCGCGAATACTTAAATCGAAAGGCGAAAGAAAGATATCGCAAAATTATTAATCTAGCATTCGCTAGTAGGACCAAAGAGAGAATAATTTTTTCATGAAAATAATTACAATAATCGGAGATAAGGGAGTCGGAAAAACTACTCTTTTTCGCCAATTAGTCAGGAGTTTTCCACCTCAACCAGGAAAGAGCCAATTTAACCCCAGCCCCATAATTAATTATGCTGAAAATTTAATCAAAATAGATGATAATATTTACCGATTAATTGACACACCAGCCTTCATTTTTTCACCCCAAAACGAAATAGAAAAAGGAATTAAAAAACAAACTGAGGATTTATTAAAAACCAGCGATTTAATTTGCTGAATAATTGACCAAAAGGACGAGAGAGCATTCGCTTTAAAAAAATATTTAAAAAATTTTTCAGCCCCACAGATTTTAATATTTAACCAAAAAAATACTGAGGAGGAAGAAGAATTTTTCTCCTATTCTTCCCTAGGTCTACAACATTTTTTGGCGATTTCGGCTCGCAAAAATGCCGACTTGGATAAATTGAGCCAAAAAATAATTGCCCTTTTGCCGGACTCGGTTGATGAAAAAACTGACCACCAAGATAAAGAACTAAAATTATTAATTTTTGGTCCGCCCAATTCGGGCAAATCCACCCTCATGAATTATTTACTACAAGAAAACCGCTCCCTGGCTACTCCAATTGCTGGCACTACCCAAGAGCCGGTGATTAGTGATTGAAATTGACAAGAAACTTTGAAAAAATTATTTCAGCAAACAAAAGGAACTTTTAGTGAGGATCAAAAAATCGACTTCGAATTAGTTGACACAGCCGGCATTACCAAAGAGCAGAAATTAAAAGAAAAAACCTGAAAAAATTGTAATTTGGCCTGGGCGATACTGGATGCCACCTTGCCTTTGACTAAGCAAATACTACAAATAGTTAATTTAGGAGAAAAACACAACAAACCGCTCATTATTATTATTAATAAATGCGACTTATTAGTAGAAAAAAAAGAGCAAGAAGCCGCTAGTGAAAGACGAAAAAAAATTTTGACAGAACCAAAAAAGGAGTTAGAAAAAGAATTAAGAAATCGCTTAAAATCACTAAGTTATGTGCCGATAATTTTTCTTTCGGCTTTACAGGGGACGGGAATGAAAGCGCTGCTTAAAGTCCTTAAAGAAATGCTGACCCAAGCCCAAAAAAAAGTTTCCAAAAAAGAATTAGCGGAAATAGTGGAAAAAATGGTAATTAACCACCCTCCAAAATATTTCAAGGGCAACAAGTTAAAAATCTATTTTGCCAAGCAGGAACTTGGTTTGACTCAGACTTTCATTTTTTTT